AAATATTTCAAACCCGATAAATAATAATAATAATAATTATATATATATATATATGTGTTTTTGATTAAATATGTTTAATAATAATAATAATAATAATAATTTTGTGGTAAATGCTTTAAATAATTATTTATGAACGCTTCTTTTTTTTTTTTATAATAATAATAATAATCACCGAAAAAATTTTAATAATACATTTTTTTTGTTTTTTGTTTTTTTTTTATGTAAATAATAATTATTTTATTTTATTATTTTATTTTATTTCGAATTGCTTTGCTCGCTTTTTTTTTTTTTTTTTCTGTTGGTTTATTTTTCAGGTTTCGAAAAAATTGTTTTTTTTTTTTTTTTGTAATTTTCTTTAAAAAAAAAAAAATTTTTTTGTTGAAAACACGTAAAAAAAAAAAAAAAAAATTTCAAATCACCATTACAGTATTATTATTCTGCAAAAAAAAAAAAAAGAAAAAATAGAAAAAAATTATTTATTATTATTATTATTATTATTAATAATTTAAAATAAAAGTTGATTAAAAATTCATTGATTTCCTATCAATAATAATAATTCATTACGAAACCACCATTTTTTTTTTTTTTTAATAATTTTTTATTTAAAATTATTTTTAAATAAAATTTTATTATAAATGGATTTAATTTAATTAAATTTAAACAAAAAAAAAAAAAAAAAATGGTCTCAGGTTTTTATTCGTTCAGATTAAAACCCCGTTAAAAAATATTTTAAAAATAATATATAAACATTTTTGATTATTTTTAAATTATAATAAATTCATTACAAAATTTATTTTTAATGAAAACGTGCTAATACAACAATTAATATAATATTATAATAATACAATTATATTGTATAAATTTTTTTTTTTATACGCGTCGTACTTTATATTCATATCCGATAATAAATAAAAATTATAAATAAAAAATGTATTTACAACGTGCCTCTTATTTTCCAAAAATTTAAAAAAAAATTTTTTTTTTTTTAATGTAATTAATTTTATTTTATGGATTATATATAATTTTAACTTTAAATTTATTTCCCTTATTTTTTTTTTTTTTTGTTAATTTCGTTTTGCCTTTCCATAACGATTAAATTTAATTATAATAATAATATTTAAATGGAGACATAAATAATAATAATACTTTTTTTTTATTTTGTATAAAATGTAAATATAAAATTACTTGTCTTTTTAAAAAAAATTTTTTTCGGTATAAAATGTTCATTATTATTATTATTTAAATTGTGTAAAATTTATTTTTTAAATTTAATTAATATTAATATTAATATTAATATTAATATTAATAATTAAAAAAAAAAAATATGCCTAGAAATTTTTTTTAAAAAATTTGTATAAAAGATTATAATTAATATATAATTTTTATTTTTAATCTTAATTAAAAAAAAAAAACTGTTTGATGATATACAAATCATTATATATATATAATAATATTAATAATTTTTATTAATTATACTATTATTATTATTATTATTACGTTCCTACGCATTTATTTGTTAAAAAATGTTTTGCATAATTTTTTTTTTTTTTTAATTATTTATATAAATAAATTCCTAGGGATTTGATGTTATTATTACATTAATTAATTTTTCCCCCCCCCTCTGAATACAATTTTTTAAAATTTTTATTTCATTTAATATATATATAAAATAATAATAATAATAATAATTTTACTACAAATAAATTTTCTATCTAAATAATAATATAAAAAAAAAAAAAACAATTTAATATTATTATTATTTCGTATGACGTTTTAACGCATTTATTTAATAATAATAAATAATATTATTATTACACATTTACAATTATGTACATAAGCAAAAAAAATTGCTCAAATAAAAAAAAAAAAAAAAAAAAAATTTAAATATATATATATTAAAGCTGCAAAAATGAATGTTTCATTATAAAAGATTATGAGATTATTATATTATTGGTTATTTGTTTTTCATTATTATTATTATTTTTTAATTAATTAACTTTTATAAACTTTAAAATTATTTATTTATATATATATATATATATATCCTAATTTAAACATTCGTTTATTTTATTAGGACCATCATAAAGTACTACCTACTACTCCGCTCCAGACCCAGCTAATATAAATGACAATGACAACAGACTCTGGCAAATTTTTTTTTTTTTTTTTTTTTTAAATTTACCATAATATTGTGATTATTAAAAAATTTCGAGAAAAATATACGTGTTAGGAAAATTTATTTTTTTAATGGCCCAAATCCGTAAAAAAAAAAAAAATTAAAGTGTTGTAAAACGCATAATATTGATTTTAAAATCAATAATTGTTTGTCTATAATAAATAAAACACATTATTTAAAATTCGTTTTATTACATTAATAAATTTTTTTTTTTCTAACCTTCGAAAGGAATTTTTTTTAAATTCTCAAGAATCCAGACGACAAAAAAAATTCAAAAATAAAATTAATTAATTAAGTGTTATTGCCAAACCCCTGCGTAATTTCCATATAAGTTTGCCGGAAGTGGTCCCCCAGCCGCAAAGAGTCTTGTTCCGGTGAAATCGTAGCAATGAGTATAAATAGCAGGTGTGTATTTCACTTGAATCCCATCCATAAATTGCTCATCCGGAAACTATAAGCAAACATAAATAAAATTATTATTAAAATTTTACAATAATTTATAATTGGTAAATAAATAAAAAAATTATTACCACGTAACCCTTCGAGGATTTTAAATTAACCGTACGACTAGAATTAATACTAGATTCTAAATATTTGTGTGCTCTGAGGTCGTAAAACATTAATATTGAAACACCAGTGCCAATTGTCAATATATCTCCTTGAAAACTTGCCGAACGAATCCCTTCAAAAAAAAAAATACATATAAATTAAAATAATAAATAATAAATATTAAACATATGAGAAATACAAAATTTTTTGTTAACTTACCACATCCGCTAAATTTAGCCGAAATTTTTTTTATTGGATGTAACGTTCTAGGATCTAATAATAATGTGTATGATCTGCAACCTATTCCGTACAGACCACCTTTTTTAACAGCTAAACAAACATTTTCTTGAGATGAAGGCAATTTTCTAGAATGTGTCTGAAATAAAAAAAAAAATTATTATTATCGACAATTGTTTATTATCAAAATAATAATCAAAAAATCAAATGAATAATTAAACTGACCTGTCTGAATGTCTCGGCATTCCATATGTGGATAAAACCATTTAATGACAAAGCTGCTATTTCTCTAAATTCAGGATTAAAAGCAACTGCCCTAACTCTTTGAGCTGATTTACATACTTTAAGACTAATTGCTTCTATACATTTATAATTTAATGTTTCCAATTTGTTCCTATCATTATAGTCATCAGTTATTTTCCACAGTCCCATTTTACTATCTTTGGATCCGGAAACTAAAAATTGATCATCCAGCCAACAAACATCAAAAACCCAATCTTTATGTGACTGAAAAAAAAAAAAAAAAAAAATTTAATTTTTTGTTTTTTGTTAAGAATAAAAATTAAATGTTATGAAAAAATGTACAAAAATAATTAAATTATTAAATATTTTCTGTTGTTTATGTAAATGTATTTGTAATTCTTATAAAATAAAATGATGTTAGCTTACATCTCCGATACAAACTGGATCCATCGTTGGCAATCTATAAATTGCAATATCACTGGAATTTCTAGCTCCAGTTGCTAGTAAAGACCTAGATGGATTGATTTGAGCAGTGTGTATACCACATTGTTGATCTTGAGAAATCCCAGATGAATTAGGTTCACAAAGCAAAGGAATTTGGTCTAATTTTTGAGTTATTACATCATAAACCATAAGCTGTAATAAAAAAAAGTTTATGAAACATATATTTATATATACTTATTTTGTAAAAAATTATTATTTGTTTTTAAATTTAGAAAAAAACTTGAATATGAGAATATAAATAAACTATTACAACTAATAATTAAATTAAAATCCAAAACATAAGAGTAAAAATAACTGTAAACAGATGTAACTTTACCTTATTACATTTTGTTCCAAAAAGGACTTGTCTATCAGATAACCATTGAGAGCAAAATATTTTATTTATATTGTTTAAAGGAATTGGGTGCTCTTTAAACATTTCATGACTTAATATATGACGAGAAAGAAAATCATAATTTACTGAACGACGTTCACGCATTCCCATTTCCCTTGATCTAACATAATCAATAAAGTTATAAGAAGTATTCAAAAATCTTTTCTCTCCAATCACCCCTAAATCTTCTTCTTCTGATTCTTCATACGTTACGAAATCTTCTGGTTTCTCCGTTTTTCGAGCCTTTTCTAATCTTTGAGCTCCTATACGACTTCTTCTTCGTTCTACCCTCTGTCTAAATGCATTTGGAGGAAATCTTCCGTGAACTGGAATTCGTTCAACCTCTGACATTTTCAACATTCAACAACACCAACCCCCATTAAAACTAATTTTGACAATATCGATTTTAATTGTGTAGGAAGTATACATTTTATTCAAAATTCCTAAATTGTAAAATTTTTCAATAGTAACTCACATTTAAAAAAAAAAACTACTGTTCTTGTAATTAATCAGCCTTTGTCAAGTAGGCTTGATAACTACTTTTATTAATGAAAGATAAATTTTTGGTAAAGAAAATTTACTAATCGTTCTAATCTAAAATATCCACCTATTATATTTAAAGCAAAACATAAATTTTAAGTTATATTTATAGTCTAAAAATTTTAAAGACATTTTAAAAAATTTTTAGTTTTACTACTAACACCTTAATAGTCCTTATCAAGCGTCAATGCAGTTACACACACAACTTCTCTATGATTTCCTTTGATTTTACCTTTGACTGCTTTTCTCAGAAGAAAGCAAATGGTGCAAAAATAGTTTTATGAGAGTTAATCGGTGAATGATTTCAATATTTTATTTTAAACCCACGTGCCAGCATGTCTGAAGAAAGAGTTATATCAAAAAAGTAAGCAAGATTCTTCTTATTTACATTTGAAAAAAACTTTCTAGTAATAACAGCATAAAAAAATTTAATTTTTATAGAGTTATAATTTAAAAATAATTTTGAATTTGCCAACGATTACAGATTTTGTAATGATAACTTGTAGTTTATTTTCAAATTTTTGATCAATTATAACTTTTGAAAAAAAAAATTTTTTTTTTAAACATGCTGGTACTAGCGAAATATATTTTTAAAAACACCTCATTTCACTTGTTTGGGAAAAAATCGACTCAAAACTTTTCAAAAAATACTCTCAACCTTTCAAGTAAAACGTGAGAGGTTTGTTAATTAAAAAAATTTTTTCAGTAAACTTCATTTTACTGCTAGTTGTAAAATATATTTCATTACAGTGAACAAAAAAGATTACTGAAGGCAAAGAAAAAAAAAGAAGAAGAAGAAGCTAAGGCAGCTTTAAATGCAAGTAAAAATGTTAATCAGAAAGCTGCTTCTGCTGCATCTACTGGAGGAATTAACGATGAGAATATTTCTCCGAATGTAAGAAAATAAAAGTTATCATTCTATTATTAATGATTAAACATTAATACTTACTAATAATTTTTTTTTTTTTTTTTTGTAGGAATACATTAAATTGAGAAGTCAAGCTGTAATGAAACTTAAAGAAAAAGGAAAAAATCCCTATCCCCATAAGTTTCATGTTACAATATCATTACAAGATTTTATTAACAAGTATAATAATTTGCCAGTAGGACATGTGGAGGAAGATACTGTTGTAAATTTGGCTGGTACATTAAAAATCAGTTTTTTTTTCAAACTACTTTATTGTACTACAAAAAAAAAAAATAATAATAATGTGTTATAATTTTATTAATTTTAAGGGAGAATTCATTCAATAAGAGGATCTGGTTCTAAACTAATTTTTTACGATTTGAGAAGTGAAGGTGTAAAAATTCAGATTATGGCTAATGCCAAATATTATGTTTCTGAAGAATTATTTTCAGAAGATACTAGCAAATTAGGTAGAGGTGATATAGTGGGTGTGAAAGGACATCCAGGTAAAACTAAAAAGGGTGAACTCTCTGTAATACCTAAGGAAATTACCCTTCTCACCCCTTGTCTTCATATGCTCCCTCATTTACATTATGGCCTAAAAGATAAGGTATGAATATTATTATTATTAAGATATTAATTGCATCATCACAATAATAAAAAATTTTACAAAAAAAAATAATTTTTTTTTTTTATTCTTTTAGGAAACAAGGTTTAGAATGAGGTACCTTGATTGTATATTAAATGACTATGTTAGGCAAAAGTTTTTTATTCGCGCTCAAATAATTTCATATATTCGAAGATTTCTCGATGAATTAGGATTTTTAGAAATTGAAACTCCCATTATGAATATGATAGCAGGAGGAGCATCAGCAAAACCTTTCACAACTTATCACAATGAATTAAATATGAGTCTTTATTTAAGAGTTGCCCCTGAATTGTATCACAAAATGTTAGTAGTGGGAGGTATTGATAGAGTTTATGAAATTGGTAGACAATTTCGTAACGAAGGTATCGATTTAACGCATAATCCTGAATTTACAACTTGCGAATTCTATATGGCTTATGCTGATTATAATGATTTAATGGAAATAACGGAAAAATTGCTATCAGGTAATGTAAAGTAATTTTTTCACGGTAAAATTTCAAAATATTAGTTTTTAACAAAATATTAATTTTTTAGGAATGGTAAAAACTATTTTTGGAAGTTATAAAATAAAATATCATCCAAAAGGTCCTGACGATGAGGAAGTTGAAATAGATTTTACTCCACCGTTTAAAAGAATTTACATGATTCCAGCCCTTGAAGAGGAATTAAAAGTAAAACTGCCAAAGCCCCAAGATTTTGGTTCTCCCGAAGCAAACAAAGTTCTTAAAGATCTCTGTGCAAAATTTCAAGTTGAATGCCCTCCTCCGACCACATCCGCTCGATTACTCGACAAATTAGTCGGTGAATTTCTCGAAGAGAAATGCATTAATCCAACTTTTATATGCGATCACCCTCAAGTTATGTCTCCTTTGGCCAAATGGCATAGATCTACGCCGGGCCTGACGGAACGTTTTGAACTTTTCATAATGAAAAAAGAAGTTTGCAATGCTTACACGGAATTAAACGATCCTCTTGTTCAGAGAGAGAGATTCGAAGAGCAAGCAAAAGATAAAGCTGCGGGTGATGATGAAGCCCAATTAATTGACGAGAATTTTTGCACGGCTTTGGAATATGGACTTCCTCCAACCGGGGGTTGGGGAATGGGAATCGATCGACTCACAATGTTTTTAACGGATTCGAATAATATAAAAGAAGTATTATTTTTCCCGGCTATGAAACCAGAAGATCAAAAACCTGAAGAAAAAGAAGTTAAGCAATAAATAAATATTATCATTGAATAATTTTATTGGCGGTTTATATTAATCACACACACACACACCGTGAAAAAATATTTTTTTATTTATTCGCTTTTTCTTTGATTGATTTCATTTAAAAAAGAAGAGTGTGTGATATTAAAATCTGTTACAAGCTATTACAATAAAAGAATCCAAATGATTTTAAAAAAAATAACAACAATAATAATAATAATAATAATAATCGAATAAATTTATCAAAATTAATTTAAAAAAATTTTTTTTTTTTTTTTTTTACTTAAAAAACAAGAAATTACAAAAAAAAAAAAAAAATTTTATTTTATTTTTTTTTTTTATTTTTTTATTATTTTTTTTTTTACATTAAAATAAAGTAGTAACCTAAAACATTGTATAATAATTATTGGAAATACTAAAAAAAAAAAGAAAAATTTGATAGGCGCTGTTAAATAATAATAAAAACGTATAACGCAATGCCTATTAATACACACATAATTGAAAATTAATTACTGAAAATAATAAATAAATCGAAATCCGCCTAATTAATCGAATACTATATATATATATATATACATATAAATTATTGTTGTTGACATTTTAAAACAATTATTCCATCTCCATCTTGTATGTATGTATGTATATATATATAAATAAATAAAGTAACATCGCAAAATATGGGAGGGAAACAATTTGATATCGACACGGAAACAAAATTAATCGTTAATCAATCATTTTTTTTTTTTTTTTATACAATTTTTATAAAATTAATATTGTACTATTTAGTTGGTACCGGTAAAAGTGACTGTGTCATCATGAGCAACATTTTTATTTTTCTATAATATTTTGAACCCGGATTATGACTTAAAAATGAATTAAGTTGCTTTTGTAGTGTCGATAATATTCCCGGCAAATGTTCTTTCGTCATTGAATTATTCGTATCCAAATTCATTATGGCTTCTTCTAAATACCTGTAATAAAAAGAATTCATAACAATTTATTACATATTTAAAAATTCGTTCCGAAATAAATTATTATTATTATTATTATTATTATTACTTACTTGTATTTTAAATCCGTATGATTTGTCATATCAGCCGAAAGTTGTTGAATGAGGGATAACAGGACTGCTTGTGGAAGGGGGCATGGATTTTGTCGAAACAATTGTTCGGGATTTAATTTGTCGCATAAATAAACCACTAAATTTAAATCGGAAGCGGAAAGAGCCTGAAATTATAAATAAATAATAATAATACTTTTATATATATATATATATATATAGAGTTTTAAACCGTTAAATTTGATTTTACCTGTTGAAATGCAGCATTTATTTGACCCGTTGCAACTAATTGCATTATTTGAGCCTGAATTATTTGCATTTGATCGACAATGTGAGATGCTGGAGTGACAGCTCGTGATCTAACTGCCGACAAAACGCTATCTTCTATAAGACTTTTATGTGACTGAAATTCTTTGCTTATACTGTCTTTAATTGTTTCCGTTAATTTTTTATTTACATAATCTTGCATGCTGAAAATTAATAATAACTTTACTTTATCGCCATCACCTTTGATTCGATACCCTTTTGTAAAAAAAAAAACAAGGTCGCCCCATACCTATTTAACGTTTTTTGAATATTTATTTGTAATTCGGATTGTAAAGACAAGGATAATTTATCCCTTGTTTGCCTGGAAGAAGTTTCGTATTCTGCCAACAACTCTGATCCCTTCACTAACTGTTGCCTCATTTTATCCAATTCTTTTTGAAGTTGAGAAATATCTGTAATTGATATATATTGTTCGAATAAATTTGTTTTTCGAAAAAAAAAAAAAAAGAAAAAATTTTTTAATAAAAAAGTTGTTCCGAGTACTTACAATCGGTAGTGCCTTGTGTAAAAGTTTCGTGTACTTGTAAAAATATTCTATCCAAAGCTTTTTCGCAACGTGGAATAACTATTTGAGTGAATATATCTTTACAAACTTCAGATATGTTCGGTCGAAGAGTGGTTAATAGTGATAGCGAAAGAACTTCCATGACAGACTGAAAATAATTTAAAGTTTTTCATTTAAATTTTTCATTTTTTTTTTTTTT